ACACACACCTTGGCAGTAAAGAGTCGAATGCTTATGCAATGCTAGATTGTGTACGCCGATGCTACATGAGGAGGAACCGATACATGAAAGTGGACCAAAAAAGAGAGAGGGATTGAAGTCGAAGTGGTATTCTGCGCTACACCTGCTGAGCGAGGCGTTGGAGGCCGGTGTGCAGCTGCATGCCAAACACGTCCATCTGCATGTGCGGCTTTGGCTGGCGCAGCTCGGTGCGCGAGCATCGATGCGAGAGCGCGCCCTTGTGCGGCGACGATGCGGCGCTCGAGTAGCTCGACGCGGTGTAGCTCGACGCCGTCGCGGGCGTCGAGCATCGCGACGTGGCCGAACCCAGCTCCAGCTCGTCGTACTCGGCCTCGTCGGTGCGGCCGAGCTCGAGTGCGCGTAGCGCAGCAGCTTGGCGGCGCGCCGCACGGCCCGCACCGCGTCCACGCGAGCGTCGGCCTCGAGACCGCATCCGACGCCGTCCGCCCTTGTCCTCGTCATCCTGCTCGTCGCCGTCGAGTGCGGCAGCAGCAGGCGCAAAGCGCGGCGCCACCATGGGCTGCGAGCGGAAGCCGTACGGCGTGGGCAGCTGCATGCCGCCACCGCCACTCCACATGGGCTGCGGCTGCATCGCCGGGTGCTGGTGCTGGAAGCCGTGCGGCGCCATAGGCATCGACATGGGCATCGGCGGCAGCGGCACCGTGCGCATGGGCGCGCTGTAATTGGGTGCACCGTGCATCTGCGCGCGCGGCATGTAGGGCGGCAGCAGCTGGTTGTGCAGGCCGCCCTGGAGATGGCTGATGCTCTTGGAGTTGGAGTGCTGGCGGTGTCGAGGTGCGGGCGCAGCGCCGCCGAGCCGCACGCCGCCGCCGAGCACGCCCACGTTGCCATTGTCGTGGGTGGTGTAGTTGCACTTGACGGGCGTCGACGACTGGAGCGGCTTGGACACGCTGAGCCCCAGCAGCGGGCCGGCGTGGATGGTGGTGTCGCCTGCGTCGTCGTCGTCGTCGGCGGCGTCATCTCCGAAAAGGCGCACGCCGGCAAAGCGCTGCGTCGAGTCGCCGAGCGTAGTGTCGTGCACCGAGTCGTGCTCGCTGTCCGAGGCTGGGGTGGACTGGCTCGAGACGAGCGACGAGGCGGGCGAGCACAGGCTCGGGCATGCGTCCGACTCGGAGTCGGCGCCGTTGACGCTGGTGGCGTCGGTGGCGACGGTGTGCGCGCTCGAGAGACTGGCGCTGCGGACGAGGCCCTCGGAGATGCTCGAGATGGAGGACGAGGAGGAGGGAGCGCGCTGGTGGTGCGAGAGCACGGGGTAGCGCTGACGAGGAGCGAGGATGCGCGCGGCGGGCTTGAGGATGGGGATCGGACGCGGGGCGGTGCTGAGGGTGAGCTGCGGTGCGGTGCGGTCGGCGGGTTGGGCGACGAAGTGACCCCAGATGAGGTTGAGGCCGGACTCGGCGAAGCTGGGCTTGAGCAGGTCAAAGTCGAGCGAGGCCGACGAAGCCCCGGGCCCGGCGCCGCGACGGATGGCTACGCAGCCGGGGTCGATCCAGAGAGTGAATGCGGTGGGGAGCCAGTCGAGCGCGAGGCTGAGCACGTTGGGCTGGTGGGGATGCACGATCTCGCCCTCCTCTGCCTTTGCTGCTAGCACCGAGGCAAAGGCGCGGAGGAGGTCGATGTCTGCGCCCTCGCCTGCGGGATGGAGCTGCCATGCGATGGAGCGCTGTGCGGAGCCTCGCTCTGGCTCGGCGGCGTGCCAGCAGCGCTGACAGCGCGTCTCGAGCGCGTCTTTGAGCGTGGATGCGAATCCGGCGAGCGCCTCGGTGGGGACGGGCGAAGGGCGTTCGACGTGTGCGATGAGGCTGAGGATGTGTTCGACGGCGGCAGCGACTTCGTAGATCATGGCTGTAGATGCGGCGGGTGAATGCAATCGAGGCTGAGACGAGGGGTATGGAAGCAAGATTAAGATGGAGCGTCGGGCCGATGAGAAAGAGAGAGGATGCAATGCAGTCAAGGAAGGTCGGAGGCTGGGAAGGGGGGACGGTAGGGAAGCAGGGATCGAAGGGGAGTGAAGGGGGGAAGAGCGCCTCGTATCGTATCCAGACGAGAGGGCGTGATGATGGAGGAGAGTCGAGATGCCAAGCAGGCTCGATAGATATATGGCAAGGAGGAGGGAGGGGGAGCGAGCCAAGTGGAGAAGTTGTGTACGAGTGCGGGAATGACGAGCATGGACGGATGAGCTGATTGGCAGGTGGCCGCGAGGGAGCGGAGGGAGCGGGCTGACTGACAGCTCCGCAACTGCAGAGTAGGATCTACACGCCCTTTGGGGCCTGAGGCCTCTCCCAAAAATGAAATCGACTGCAAGGCGTGCATGCGCTTGCATGTGCAGTGCGAGCGAGCTGCCCAAATGAAACGGCACCGCCTTGCACCCGAACTGCCCAACAAGGAAAGCCGCAAGGCTGCACACACGCTCGGACCGATGGGGCAAGATGGAGACGCAGAGCGGCGTGTGCGGTGTGCGGTGTGCGGAATCACATTGACGAGGCGCGTGGAATGTGCGCGGCGTGTGGGGGGCCTTTTGGATGAGCAAAGTGACAGCTGTCTCTCCGACCGCGCGTCCAGTCGGCATGGCCGAGCCGAGCGATGCCAGCGCGAAACAAAGAGCGCAGCGCAGCAAGGGCCTCTCTCTGCACACGCGCCAAGCGGCTGCTCTGCTGCTGCTCTGCTTCTTTGCTGCAGGGTAGAAAATCTGCCCATCGCTTTTGCCAATCGACCTGTCATTTTTCGCCCTTTGGCCCAACGAGTGAGGATCTACGCGTGTGCCTGCCAAAAAAAAAAATATGAAAAAAGTAACACTTGCACCTCGCCAGCCGAGACAGGTTCACACCTCCTGCTTGCTTGCACAGCTGTACTCGTGCCTTTTTGTCGCAGACCTGTACGCACTACTCCCTGGCATGCCAGTCGACTTGCCATAGTCTGATCACAATCGCTGGAATAGTGATGAGGCTGCTGTCATATGCTACTGTGTGTGTCGCTTGATCCGAGCGACCGAAATTGGCAATCTTGGCTACACTCTAGATCGACCCAAGCTTCCCGTCTCGGCCTTTCCGCACATTTTTTTTTCTTTTTTCCCGGCGGTTGTGAGGGGGGATGCATGCGAGGAATTTCGAGTGTCTTTGCAAGGGCAACATGTGCTGGCAGTGGTTTTTCGCAGCATCTCCGACGTGTGAAGATATGCAGCCGCTCCTGCCTGGCTGGCAGAAGCCCAAATTACCCGAGGCTGTGCAGGGCGTATCCCGTGTCAGGAGCCTCTCGCTCTCTCTCTCTGCCCAATGTCGATCCGGATCGTCGAGACCTCCTTGCCTCCTTGCACTCGTTCGGCCTTGCCTGCGCCGTACGCCTCGCTCTACTCACAATCCCGCCTCTCGCCACTCGGCACATTTTCGAGTCGCGTGAGGTTTGGCAAGCACTGCATGAATAACGCACAAGCGGCCACCGTGTGCCTGACAGAACCACACACTCACTCGCCGGCCTCTGTCCGAGAGAAATGGCAGTACTCCAATTTGCAGCTGGAGCCACACTGATATCTCTGCGTCCGTTGCAATTTGGCAGGCTTCATGGTGCACATTGGCCGATGAAGCATCCTTCAGTGCCCAACCTTGAAATCCATGTCGCCAAAAGAACCACACGCGCCGCGGTCCGTGGGCCAAACTGAGACAAAGTACCGCCCCGCCCCATGGCATGGCATGAACCTTCGACCGTGCTCGGCGATACAGTACACCCTGACCAGTCACGACACTCCCTTGTCCTCGCTCCGAATTGCCTTCTCCTCATGGCTGAGACAACGCCGCAAAGCCTCTCCCACCAGAGATAGGCGTTGCTACAGCTCTCACAATCACCGCCCTCGCCACACATCGTTGATAATACAGTACACACCAAACCAACATGCTCCGGAAAATAAACAATTGACTTCGTCCCCTACCGCGTGTCTTACGCCTGCCTGGCGGTATTGTAGTTCTGCACCACCTTTGACACCTGCTTGAACAGCCAGTTTCTCGTGCTGACATCGGGCAGATGGACAAACGGCCCACTGACCCCACCACGCAACACCAACGCGATACCCTGGCTCTCCAACGAGATGCTGCTGAGATCCGCCAGCGCCACCTCCCACATGACCTTGAGCCGCATGGTGCGGATATACACGATGCGCGACACCGTCAACATGATGACCGCATCGCCCTCGGTCGAGCCCACATCCACATGCGCCACATACGAGTCCTTCATGAGCCGGCCGTTGTCGACGTTCTTGAGCCACGTCTGGCCCAGCGCCTCGCGGTCCGAGTACGGCCGCACGATCCCATCGCTGGCAATGTACCGCGGCAAGCGCACGCGGTCAATGTCGTTCTGGTCAAACACCATGGTGGTGTTGCGCATGCCCTCGGTCACGTTGCTCGCCAGATCAAACACCCCCACCGCCGGCTTGGTGATCGCTCCCACCAACCCCTTCCCCACCCCCTTGAGGAATCCACCCGCCCCTCCCTGCTCGGCTCCCTCCAGCGGTCGCAGCGCCAACCCTTCAAACCCACTCGCCACCGAGGTGAAGAACGAATTGGCACCCGCCGTGATGCCGTACAGCGCGTGGCGCGGCTTGTTGCGGAAGCGCGACATGCGTCGCCGCGACTGGAACTCCTTATCCATCGTCGCCGCCGCCAGACCCTTGCCGATCGAGCCCGTCACCTTGGACACCGAATCCGTCAGCCCAAACACGGTCTTCTTGACAAACGAAGACGCACCGCGCGCAATGCCCAGCCCCAACTCCTTGTTGCCGTGCATCACAAGCCCCTGGTACGGCTCGTAAAAGATATCCGCCACGCCCGACGACACGTTGTTAAACAGCCCCACCGGATTGCCCAAAAAGTCGGCCGAGCCCAGCACCCGGTACAGCTGCAGCAGGAAGCCCTGCGAGTAGTGGTACACCACGCGACGCTGCAGCACCGCGCTGCTCAGCCGCACATTTTCGATCACCAGCGCATTCAGCCGCACCGGCGCCTCGTTGACGTTGCCCAGCGCCATCGTAAGCGCATTGAAGAAAAAGATGAGCGGATTCCTCGAGCTCACCTTTTCGTCGGCATTGACGCGCTCGGTGCGCATGAACGACAGGTTGAGCGCGAGCGGCTGCAGATGCAGGATCTCAAAGTAGATGTCGTCCGACGCGGTCTGCGTGCCGCTCGGCTCGCGCACCTCGCGCGGATGCTCGATGAAGTCCGTCTCCTTCTCCGCCTCGAGCTGCCACGCGGCGCCCTCGAACTTGCTAAACTCGTAGAGCGCAAACAAAAAGTCCTCGTCCAGCTCCGCCGTGATCTCCTGCAGCAGCACCGACGCATACTTGATGTGCGTCACGCCGTGCGACTCGTCCTTGAGCATGATCACCGACGCCTGCAGCGTAGGATGCACCTCCAGATCCTTGCCGTCCTTGGGGATCACCGTCGGATACAGCACGATCGGGAACAAGCCGCCGAACAGCTGGTTGTCGATCTGGATCCACTTGCAGATCACATTCACCGCCGTCGTCACTTCCGACTCGGTGTAGTGCATCTCGAGCCCGCGGAACGACACGTACGCCAGCTCCTGCACGTTTTGGTTGATCAGCGAGATGCCCACGCCTTCAAACTCCACGTTGAATGCCGTAAGAATATTCGTATCCACGTCCACCGCCACAAAGCCCGCATCGCGGCTCGCCACGCTCGACACCGTGTCGCTGCGCGAAAACGTCGAGTTCTGCCGCTTGAGCTTGAAGTTGCTCAGCTCCTCCGCATAGTTGCTCAGCACCAGCGTCTGCGTCGGCCCGTCGGCGCGCACGTCCAGCGACACCACCCGGCTCCCGCGTCCGTCCGCCGAGGCGAACTTGAACGGCAGCAGACTGCCGATCTCGAGGATGTTGACGTTGCGCTCGCGCCCGTTGATCACCAGCTTGATCATCTTGTCCGTCGCCGCTGGATAGTCCCACGCGTACTTCATCTTGGAGCGCGGCTTGAGCTCGTACCGCTTGCCCACCGCCTCGTCGACGCGCTTCCCGCCGCCGCCGTCCTCGTCGCTGCGCTCGGTCGCCTGCATAAATTGCACCGTGTAGTCGCTCTCATTGCGCAGCATAAACGGCCACGGCCCGTCCTCCTGGCTCAGCGAGATAAAGATCGTCGGTCCCTCGAGCAGCACCTCGGCCTTGACCAGGTGCTGGTGCTGCCCCGCCTTGGCCAGCCGCAGATGCACGCTGCCCACATCCTCGATGTTGAACGGCGCGCTCCACTTGTTGTTGATGCCCGGATAGGCGAGCGTCATCTGCTTGGTTGCGCCCACCCTCAGGAAGTGCAGCGGCACGCGGTGCCCTGGCTCCACCGTGACAAAGTCGGCCGCGCCCGCCTCGCGCAGATTGATCGGTCCCGTGAGATTGTTGCGCACCAGGTAGCGCGGCGTGAGCTTGACCACCTTGGACAGCTTGAACTTGCCCAGGCCATCCTCGACGGTGAGGCCGACGTGGATCTCCTCGTTCTTGGACGCCGACGGGATCACCACCTCGGTCTCGGAACCGATCGCCTCGAACGACAGCGGCTTGGACCACTGCGAGTCGCCGACGCGCATGAGCACGCGGTTGCGCCGGTCGTTCGAGTTGTGCGAAAACAGGAACGGCTCCGGCTCCCTGCGCATCGCCGCCGACGCGCCGCTGTCCTGGCCCGCCACCAGCTTGGCGCTGCCGAGCCACGACTTGGTCTTGAGCGCAAACGGCAGGCCGCTCTGGTTGATAAAGATGTACGGCGAGTAGATCTGCACCTTGAAGGCGCCGCCCGAGTCCGGATGCTTCGAATAGTGCAGACGCAGGTTGAGCTTGAGGTTCTCGGCATCCGCCAG